TTTTAGAAGAAAGAAAACATCAAATGGTAAGTTTTAGTTAATTTTTTTTTTTACAGGTACTTAGTTAACGGCCCCCCCCTCATTATTTATAGGGTGAGGGGGGTAGGTAGGGGTTAGTTTTTTTGGGGAGGAGGGTGACTAGGGGTTTGGGGACCCCTAGTCACCTGGGGGGGGTTACATTTTTATTTAGGGCCCCCACCCACAGCTCAGGGGTGGGGGCCAGGGGACATTAGGTCCCCCCCTTATTCTAATTTAGGGCCCCCTTATTGGTATTTAGGGCCCCCCCCCAATTTTTATTTAGGACCCCTACCCACTGCTCAGGGGTGGGGGCTGGGGGGAAGGACATTAGATCCCCCTTATTCTAATTTAGGGCCCCCACCCACCGCTCAGGAGTGGGGGCCAGGGGGAGGACAATAGGTCCCCCACAATTTTTATTTAGGGCCTCCACGCATCGCTCAGAGGTGGGGGTCAGGGGGAGGACATTAGGTCACCCCTTTAATTGGTATTTAGGGCCACCACCCCCCAATTTTTATTTAAGACCCCCACCCTCCATATATATTTTTACAGTGAGCAGCCACAGGCACTGTTTACTAGACATGCCCCTACTCGCGGTATAGCGAGTAGGGACATAATTAACTAATACTAAGTAATCTTTACTTAGTATTAGTAAATGTGGCTGAAAGACCAATTTAGGTCTTTCAGCCTTTTGGTAGATAGCTCACATGCTGCACTGGCCAGTCACAGCCATGCCATTAGTAGGCATGGCTGTGATGGCTTCTAAGGGCACACGAGTCAAACGCTTGTTGATTGGCTGCCCTGCAGCTTTTCAAAATGCGCCATTAAATCGAGAAACACCGAACTCGAACTGTTACTGAAATGTCCAGGTTCGGGGTCAAAAAATCATAATGTTCAGTGGGAACCCGAACTTTACAGTTTGGGTTCGCTCATCTCTAGTTCTGAATCAATTCTACACATATGTGTTTGTTTAATATATGACATGTATTCAGATATGTCATACTGATATCTTTCACATTGAACTCCGTAGGTAATTGACATATATGTATTGAATCATTATTGTAACCTTGGATAAATCTACAATTTTTCTCCAACATATAGTTAAATACTATTAATTAGATTTATATATATATATATTTAAGATTCCTAATTTTGCATTGATTTTGCATATATCAAACTGTAATATCCATTTTTACATTTATTAATATACATTTAAGATTTCAAGCCTGACATGGAGATACATGTGTCGTCTATTTTCATTGTTTGTATTGCTATGCATACGACCGCTCTCCTATTAATTTGGAAATATGGAATATGGAAATGGACGTTCATGCAATTGATTCTATTTCCTAAAAATGATGCTGTATGCATGCGCGTGACGTTCGGCTTTTGCCATTCACGCACAAGCATGAGCTTTGTTTATCTGTTCCCCATGACCACGTCATCCACAACCTCCGGGTTGCATTAAGTATACATCATAGCGTTCCATGCGTGGAACGCACACTGACAGATGAAGCGAATGAAGGATGATTTCCTCGAGTATAAGAAGTCCCTCCACCAAAGAACAATTACAGATTCCTGAGGAAGTCCCTCATTTGGATGAATCACGTTCGACACCTGCACTGAAACTTTATATGGACTTTGTTTTTATTTTATGTATTATTTTGGTTTTAATACTTCCTGCTGGCATTGTGAAGATTTACCTTCCTGCTACCTGGTTCCACATTTGTGTGGAGATATGCCCAGATTTGCTGCCTGCTTGGAAGTGCACTTTTATAAATCTCTTCTGATTTTACTGTACTTCACCATATGTGGCTGTGACGAGAGCAATCTCGCCACATTGCATTGGAGAAGCCTGGTTGCTCGCCTGTTGCCTTTAGACTATGGCCCCATGTTGAAACGCTTGATTTTCCCCTGCAAAGACATGAAAGCCGGGTCATTCGGTGCTGGCCCTGTTTGAGCGGTGATACCCCAGATAGCTATGCCATGGAGCCCATTCGTATAATGAAAGACTATGGGAAAGACTTTGGCTCCATGGCAATTGAACTGTATGTGTGTGTCTGAGCGCCATTCAGTAATAATGTGCGCTCAGATCTGAGCTATCTGAGGATATGTTGAATGTACCTGTTTTGTGCAATGGCTGCACAGTTATATGTTTTTATGTGTTTTATTGTCTTTTGCTGCCATGTGTTCAATTGAGTTTTGCCTCTGTCCTTGGAGATAATTGGATTACTTCCCAATTATCTCCAGGATAGAAGACTCTGTGGAACTGGTTTTGGGCAGAAAGGCCATGCTTCATTTGGTCTCAAAGGACTATGATCTATCTTTTGAACCAATGGACCAATTTGGATGATTTTGACATATGTTTGTATTTGGAGTATGCTGATTCTGAAAATTTAAGTTTTACTTTTCAAGTTATGAATAACGTGGAAAAACTGTATTTCTCTGGCTGTTATAATTACATTACCCATTGTGTAAGGTAATTGTATCACAGGCAGAGGGGAGGATTTTGTTTGGGAGTGTCGGAGTGTATTGTACGTGTTTATTGGTTGTTTTCCAAAACCCTGTGGGTGGTTCTAATGTGTATATAAGAACAATAAACCCACAGCTCTGTCTGTTGCTGCTTGACCCTCAAAACGAAGCCTTGTTTTGGTCTTGGGGGGATTTATGGTATGCTGTTCCAGTTCGACTGCTAGGAGTGTAAACCTTTCGCATGGTTTTTCCTATTCGGCTGTTTACAGCATTCGTATGTTTCCGGTTTGGCTGTTTACAGCATTCATATGATTCTCCGGTTCGGTCTGTGTCTCTGGAAGGGGAAGATCTTCTAAACGGCGGTTTAACCCCTTTTATGCCTGGGTTTGCCGTTACAGTGGCTCTCTTTCCTACATTTATTTAAGGAATTCTATGAAGATTACTATGGTTGATATCCACTAGCTCTACAATTCGTTTTAACCCCTGGTGGGGTGAGAAGCCTGCTTTCACTTGTGTTTGTGATTTTAATACCAACAACACATATTTCACTTTATTATTACTGTATTACGCTATGTAGTGTTTATCCCTTTTACAGGTTCATATTGATTTTACCATCCGGGTCTATTTCCCAGGTTGTATTTAATTGATTTTTGCATGTACTTCCCACTCTCCTTTTCCTTAGGCTAGCCAGATATGGCCTGGATCCTTCGACAGAGACTATCACAGCAACAATGTGAGGGTTGGACAAGGAGAACCGAGCAGCACAGCAATGCGTGAGCAGGTTGTGCAGATTGGGACTGTGGATATTTGATCTTCCTCACCAGCGGCAGAGTGAGTTTCAGGGATAGGAGGCAACTGGTTTCTCTCCCCAGCGGCAGTGTAAATTACAGGGAGAGGAGACAACCGATTTCTCTCCCCAGCGGCAGTCAGAGTTACAGGGAGAGGAGAGCATCATCCTCCCTCCCCAGTGTCAGGGAGTGGCAGGGTGAGTGTCAGGGAGAGGAGACACCTGGTCTCCCTCCCCAGCGGCAGTGTACCTTGCAGAGAGAGGAGACTACCGGTCTCTCTCTCTCCAACAGCAGCAGGAGATATCGGGAGAGCAGACAACTGGTCCTTCTCCCCAACCACAGGGGGACAGCACCCCTGACCCCAATGGTGCAGATGGGACCGCGGTCTCTGCACCAGACCTACAGGGATGCTGGACGGCCGGTCCAGATCCCCAACCAACACCACAGGAATGCCAGGAGGAGGAGGTAGGCGATCCCTCCTCTCCACAGCAGATCCCCAACCAGGTCTTGGGGGTAATATTCGCTGACATTTCTTAAGACAGGGTAAGACACAACAAACAAGAAGAGCGAGGATGATTATCATTATTAAAATGGCAACATCTACTTGGGCCAGAGCACCTTGCCATCCAGTCATCCATCCAAACCATCTTTCCTATGGATCTGTGGCCCCAGAATTTCGTTTCATCTCGTTGGACAAACTCTTTAACTTTTCTATTGCCAACGTTACCTTACCATTAGGGCCTGTATTATCTGGAATATAGGTACAGCATGTTATGGTGTCTGGGAGTATTTTACATACTCTCCCTTTTCCTGCCAAAATCATCTCTAAGCTTATTCTATTCTGGAAGGTCATCTGAGAGGTAGCTTGTAACCGCCCTATCCCACCATATATCCCATAACGAGTATAGTTCCCTGGATATATAGTAATGCCTTCGTCTGGGTTAATATTTTTAGTACTGAATGGGTATTCATTTTCCATGACTTGCATGCTGACCGCTTAGGTTTAAATACAGTGTAGAGAGTTAAAACGCATACTTCATATCCGGAGGAAGGTTCAGGGATACAGTACCTGGGTGAGGCCTCGCTCCTCCACAGACATAGCATTTAGACTTGTTATGTTTAGTAGCATTGTATTTCATCCATTCAAGTCACAAGTTAGTGTCAGAGAAACCTGTCTCTACAGCCCTAGTATCCTCAAATATGGGATGACTACCATGTCTTTTAAAGTCCTAATGTGTGGTTTGAGAGGATTAACAGTCATGTGCGTGGCACCTACCCATTCAGCTGAGTCATACATGTCCTGTAAGAAAAAGGTCTCCTGTTTATTGTATAAACCTCTTCCCTTCCAATTCAGATTTTATTAGCCGTAATGCTTGGGAGAAAAGATTCAAACTTAGTTTCTTACCTTAAAATCATTTGGTACCCCCCCCCTTGACACCCCTATGGCATATATATATATATATATATATATATATAAAACCACCCTTTATAGGGGTACTCCTTTTTGTCCTGAAGCATGAATGAGGTGTGTCAAGAGTACCTTGGGGATTGTCATGTGTTATGTGTATGGACATAATAACCTTGGCTAGGGCACATTTACTTATTCTTAATCTTAGAAATCTTGTCTTATGCTACCCTAGTACTGACAGATTCAGATCATTTAAACATTCAATATTAATATCACCACAAACTCAAGATAAGCAGATGATCCTGAAGAAGCTTTGACTGTGCGTATGACACCTCAGACATGAGGGCTGCAGGGTAAGGAGTATGTCTGTTTCTCTTTAGTTTCACGAGGTCCCCTTTTGGGGTATTCGGCTTTCCATCGATGGCAGGTGGTCAGGCATTATTATGGCCATCAAAACACCCACTTGTTGATATTTATTTATTTATTTTCAACAAGTATCTTTGTTCTCTAAGAATGGAGTTTCAAAAAAGGTTGTCAAGATCAACAAATGCTTTTTCACATGATGCAGAGGCAGGCTTGATTCTGGAATGATGAATCCACGGGGTGATCTCTGTAACTTTCACGGTGCACTACTCAGCATGTGGTCTTGGTTATCACTTTGGTGGCTGGATAGGCCTCTGGCCATCCTGAAAACATGTCTGCTATAATTAGTGCATATTTGAACCAGCCATTCTTTGAAATTCTGGATGTAGTCAACTTGACTCCTCTGGAAGAGATAATGAGGTTTGGCTAGATGCTTGGGGCTTTCCTCCATTCTTCCTGAGTTGCCGTTGGCACAAATGGCACAAGATTTACAGTAACTGTTGGTCAAAGAGGCAATTCCTGGTACTTCAGAGTATTCATTGATCAAAAGAGTTCATGAGGGTTCTGGACAGATGCTCCGTAGGCCCAGTGGACCACTGCTGAGTATATGTTCTTGGGCAAGCAGAACTTGAGATTGTTGAAGTACAGCCTGTCTTTCTGTTTCCAGCTTGTGTTTTTTTTTTTCTTTCCAGGGTCAGCAGCTGCTTGTTATTCCTTCGGGAGCTTGATGTCTGTGGGTAGGATCTTACATGGTGAATATGGGAGTTTCTTCAGCAGACACTTTTCTGTCCACTTCCCTTAGTGCACTTACAACTTCTTGAACAACTTGGTCAGCCAGAGAGTTGCCACATGCTTCCTCTGAGTTCAGTCTTCCTTCAGAGATCTTGCATGCTGTGATGGGAGCCTGTAGCTCAGCTTCTTGTGCAGACATTGTTGAGGTGAGATACTTGGTCCACTGTAGTGACAGCAAATCCGGAACAGATCACGAGGAAAAGGCTAAAAAAATAATAGTCAGTGTCTTATCATTCCCCCCCCGGGAAGTGGCAGAAGAGTGGCCAGGTAAATAGAGTATCATCCCTGCAGGGTGACACTATCCTGCACAGAATTTGTCCATCACAAGGAGAGGTGGGATATTGCATGGAAAGTCTCAGGGAACCAGGGCACCATTCGACACCAGAGCCTTAACCTGTTAGGGAATAGTAAGAGCTTTGACAGGCTTCGGGGCCTGTATAATTCAGGTAAAGGTATTGGGGGAACTAGCTAGGACCCTTGCCTCTTGGTCAGGTTTCACTGTGTGGAACAAAATAAATAATAAGGTGATAGGGGCCTGCAAGTGGGGGAAGGACATCTGCACCTAGCAGATTAATTGGACAGGTGGAGGCAACCACAAAGCAAGGCTTAGTTAACAGGCTACTCCAAGGAGAGCCATCTACACTTATGCAGGAGACAACAATGTTAGACAGGAATGAGGAGTCAGGCAGGCCGTGCTTGCTACAAATAGATGTCATGTGGCCTGCTATATAAGGCTGCATGCAGCCGTTGGGTATTGGCCTTATTATGTACTAAAACCTAAGTAAAAAGAAAATTTGGGACAACCTGAAGTGATACTTCTCCACAGATGCTAACTCATCGTTGATGACATTGTTAATACAGGTAGCCTGATCAGCCAATTTATCTTAGGCTTAAACAAGTCACACCATGTAGTGGAATGGGTCATTAGGATTCGGGCAATTCTACTGTAAAAGGGCATAGTAAGGATGGACGTGATGTTACTTTAGGAGTAGGCGTGGCTGTGGATAGTGGGAAATCAGCCTTATCCATTCCCATATATTATTCCTTTTGTCTTCAGTATATCCAAACCATGTGTATGTCCAGGCGTTGCAATATATAGTAATCCATTATCAGTCATGATATTAAAATCTCATTCTCATGAATTAAATCAAAGATTTTAAATCAACCTCAGAAGCAACAAAGAATAAATCTATTGTTTTTTCCTTCTGTAAAATGATTGGAGTTACTGTATAATAGCATACAACCAATATAACATACATAAAAACAATGAAAAAACAAACAAAAACAATAAAAAAACAGTACAGACTAACAAGTTAGTAAACAAACAAACACATATCTCTATTCTTGTGCTGGTTTTAACTCTAGAATCAAATATCTGCAAGATATTAAATAATGTGCACCAAACACAAATAACTTTAGTTATATTCTGCCGTTGAGGCAATTGGGAGTGGCTCAGGCGTCTGTATTGCTCTTTCACACTGAGTTCTAGGGGGGGAAAAGGGAGGGGGTGAAATCTGCACTTCTCTCTCTGCCTCTAACAAGTCAGTGTAACCCCTTCATGTCTGGATATTTCCTTACTTTATCTAAGAATAAAGCAACTTCCTTCAAAGTACTTTTTTCTCTAGCAATTACAATTGCAGTTGAATCTAGATCTTGAAATTTTTTCACAAATTCATTAATTAACTGATCCTCAGGAAAATTACCGACAAGTCTATATGCATTTTCAAATTTTACAAGAAAACTAAAAATATCCTTATTAATGTGTGGTTTTAGTTTTTCCAACACTTCTGCAAAATCATTCCTTGTTGTTAAGTTTATTAATTGTGTTAATCTGTCTTGCTTATTTCCATATATTATTTTATCATTGTCCTGACATCGGTCAATCTACACGCCATTTGAGTCGGCAGCCATGTTTTAAATAGTCTATTCCTTTGTTCGTCATTTAGACTATATTTGTCCAAATTTGACTCAAACATTTCGGCATTAGTGAACGCATCCACTGACATGTCATAAACTGGAATACATTTCACAATTTTCATTAATTGTTAATGGATTTTCAAATTAAGTTTTACAGCTCTGTTACTTTGTTACACTGGTCATTTAAATCTGATTTGTCTTCTGTTAACATATTCAAATTTATTTCTTTATCTGCTGATTCTAAATTTTCTTGACCTGCATCTCGTTTACAAATCAATGCATTGTAAGTACAGACTAGTTTCATAACATTTCTGATCTTTTGTTTTTTCTTATTAACAAACAATTTCTTGGCAATTTCACTATTGGCAATTTCACATTGTGTGTATAAAGATTGCCACAATACAGCATCTGAATAGCTGCTATTACATGCAAACTGCAATGTACTTTTCTCTGCATTATCATTTATGAATTCCACAATTCATTTGTTCCAACAAAATCTAACTTTCCTTATTCCAACATGCCAATAACCTCTTACTTAACAACATATACAAGATTACACAAAGTTCCTAACTAGGTTATTCGTCCAGCAAATATACCTTGTTTCCCTCACATTCCTCACTGAGTTTACAAGCATTTCACCCATTCACCCCCCCTGTAGCCAATACTCATAGCAGTCAGAGCAAGAGAAAGCAACCAAGAAGGAGGGGGGAGGAGGGAGGAAGACTTGCAAGCACAAAGTTTTTTAACCATGTGATTGCCTAAGCACAGCTCTCCTTAGGACAAAAGATAGAATAGGAGAGTGACGATACAGATTGTATAGATTACAATTAACATATATGGTACCCAACAAGACATACACAGACAAAAGCACAAAATACAGATGTAATTAAATCACAAAGTCCTTAAAATAAATGTCGGCTAATAACTCAAATCACACACACAGAAACACTCAAGCACATAAACATTAACTTTTCCTTTTCTTTTCTTTGTAACTCTACACCGAGCTTTACTAAAAGAAAAGGCACCAGTTCTTACTTTACCAAATAAACTTAGCTAAAACAAATAAACCTTTAAACTCTAAACCGAGTTGTATTAAACCAAAAACCTTTAAACTCTAAACCGAGTTGTATTAAACCAAAATAATCACCAGGTTTGTTTTTCCAAACGAGGCCAAAACAACATTCGCTAGTTTCTTCACCGAAACCTAGCCAAAACCACAAAATAAACCTTTAAACTCTCAACCGAGTAATATTAATAATTGCCAGTTTTTTTTTTCCTTTTTCACCAAACCCGAACTTGGCTAAATATGCCAGCGCTTAACCACACTTGGCAGCATTATATAACAGTATTAAGCAAGTAGTAAAACAGATTCTCAAGCAGACACTTTCACACATAAAACTCACACTCAGGACGTAGATAGACAAATTGACAGGTTCTATTCAAATAAAGGGGACATGTGGGCATACTATATACACCTGTCGAAGACGTTAACCACATGAAGCCAGAGTGAAGGAACGGAGAATAAACAAAGTCCAAAGAAAGGAAAATATAGGGTAAGTAACTCATTTACCATATGCAGAGGTGATCAGGCTCTTTTTTTCCAATCTCTGGGGGTCTCCTCTCCGGTCCTGGGATTTTACGGCTTCCTTAGTAACATAACCCTCCAGTCCCATCTGGGTTGACAAATTGTTTCAGATCAAAGAAAACTTTGATTATTTGTCTATCTACTCCTTCAAAATTGACTAATTAATGCGTGCACGCTTTTCCTAGAAGTAATTCACACCGGAGACAAAGTTTCTGATCAGCGAAAAACCTGAATAATGCCTTTATTCCCTGGAGTGGGAGTTCCTTTTAAAGCAGAAATACGTCATGTACAGAGTCACAGTTAAACATACAATATACATTCAACAATTGGTTAACAGTCTAAGGGGTCTTGTCTAACCCCCCCCCTACAGGATGTAGTGTCGTCATTACAGACTTCTCCCGCCTATATTCCAGCTCCATCTTGGATACAAAATGGGAGGGGGAGTGAGTAGTTTCTTTCAGTTATTTTAACAGTGATTCTCCATTTTGTTACATGTGGCATATAGCTGTTAACTGGCACAAAGGAAGTGGGGGAGGAGTTAGTAAAGGAAGCTGTTAACACAGGAATTTTGTTACACGAGGCTTGCTCTGATGGGAAGGGGGATGCTAGCAGGATGGGAGGAATTTACACAGAGAGAGAGAAAATAGTGACTGAACACATTGTAGGGGGGGAAGGGAATATTTACTCTAGCAGCCAGTTTTAACATAGTGAACACAGAATAAATAGACATTAGTAAATAGCCATTTTATTTTAATTCTACTATCCATAACAACCCCATCCCAGCAGAAGAGGGTCAGGGCAAAGCCTAGTTGGACTCTGTCCTCCCATTTTCCATTGTCTCGGGCCAGAATACCAGCAGGCCACCTCCAGCAGAAGTGCTGGCAATGGGGCAGAGTGCAGTTGGGATCCTGGAACTGGCATCCCTCACAATAACGCTGGCTGCGGGGCAGAGCACTGCTGGTCTCTGCCCACTGAAGGAATACCAACTACCAGCTGGAGAGCAATGGAGAATCTAGGAG